GTGTTAAACAGACTGTGAAGTGTTCCAGTCTCTAGTGTCTCATCTCCAACAGGCATATTCTGTCTAGTTAATCTAGTTCACAAAGTTCTTTTTAAAATAAAATGATGCAATAGATATAAAATATTTTAAAGTCGGTAGTACTCTATACATTGAAGATGGCACTAATTATTATTAGGCTCATTCTCTGAATGTTGGAAGCACTCAGAGTTTGGCTAGCCATGTCAGGACAGTAAGGATAAGGGAAAGTACTGTGAAAGGCTGTCACCCCAGTTCTGAACCTTACCCTCAGGGCTTTAAGTTACATGCAGTGACCTGATGCTCTTAAATTTCTTTCTCCAATATTCATTCATAGAAAATGAAATTAATTATTTTCAGAATCAATTATTATTCCTGTGGCTAACTTAGATCTGGATGCTAGAGAGTTACTCCCACCCAGTAGCGAGCACAGAGCCCAAAAGGCTTCAAGTGTCTCTATACTAGCAGTTTTATTCTTTGTCCAAATACCAACTGAGCCTCTGTATGTCATGGGGACAGTTCTTGGGTTTGTTTGCATTTCATTAGTAAGTGCTTAAGGAAAATGTAGCCCAAACCCCATAGAGAGAGATATGCTTATTCACTACTCTTACTTAAAGGTTTATTTTATTCCCACATACCTTGACAAAAATTATGCAAAGCCTGCTCCATTTACTGGAAATAGGGAACATACAGTTGGATGCCTTTCAAGTAGAGAATAATATTAAAAAGTGCAACTGTGAGCTGCATAAAACCTTTCAAAGTAGTTTATGCATGTTGTGATGTGATTGATGAGAGTCCTTACCAGAGGAAGCTTGTCCTCCAGCTTCGTTTAACTGAGCTGGTCTTCCATGTTCATGGGGATGTAACTTTTTAAAATAATGATTGTGGTTAAGAAACATATAACATAAAATTTACCATCTTAACCATTTTAAGTGTACAGTTCAGTAGTGTTAACATATTCACCTCATTGAACTTTTTCATCTTCCAAAACTGGAACTCTACACCATTAAACAACACAGGGTGCTATAACTCCTGAGAGGTTGATATACTTAAGGAATCAGAGGAGCTCTTCCCACTCAGTCTGCCACCCATCGAGACAGACTCAGCCAGGCCTCATCACTGCCCAAAGTGCCCATCACCCAATCCCAGCCCTCCGCTGTCTGGCACAACCACAGAGGTGCAGTCCAAATAAATGGACATGTGGGGATACTGAGAGTCCCCTGAGGAGTTCCAACAGTGAGTGCCCAAGTGCTGGGTCTAAAAATGCTAATAATTGACAGAGAATGAGTCTCAGAAATGCTGCTCTGTCCCAGCATGCTTTATTAAGGCAGTTGATGGATATCACTGAGAGCGTGTGAGTCAGAAAGACCCTGAGGATGCTAGACTTGAGATCTGAACCAAGGTACCTGGCTGTCCCAAGACTTGCATTCTCAGGGTACCTGGCTACCTAGCTACAGCTGTAGTTCACTTCCAAGGTCAGTGTGACATTTCTGTCCTTTGCTGTACTTTATTGGTGAAATATATACCTATGCAAGGAATTAGAACTTATATTTGTCCTCTGGTTAAACAGACATGTTTCTGAAGGGAATTTTGAAAGTACCAGAGTCATAAACAGGAGATATGAGTTAAGATGCTGACTCAAGTATTTTGGCACAACCAGACCACTTGGAGCATCTAAGAGGATTCATAAATTAGCTGTTGATTGTGATCAGAGTGTTGAACAACTACGTACGAATCTGTATGGTAGTGAATTTGTGTGGTTTTAAGCCACTAGGTTTGTAGTAACTTGTTATGGCAGCAGTAGAAAACTAATGAAGAAAGAGTGAGCACAATAATTTGAATATGGGTAGTAAAACAAGGATTAATAACTATATGTTGGCTTATTCTTATTAGTGAGTTAATAAGTCACAGATGAACCAAATATTTGAGACTTTGAAGTAACAAAGGAGTTTAAATGCAGTGATAATTATGTCTTAGATGCACATACTTTGCCTGTCATCGAAGAGGAAAATGGTATGTAGAATGAAAGTAAAGTTCATCTTAAACTTACAAAAGCAGTTTAAGAGAAAAGCTGCTGTTGTTTGGTTTTTATTTTGATCAGCATGCTGAGGCAGATACCCATCATCCCTTTTAATGTACCTTCAAAGCAAGGCAAGGTCCCAGCCTAAGGTTTAGCGTTTATAAAAAGGAATTTATCTCCAGTAGCACAGCACCTCCCAATTGTTGGGCATGACTCAGACATCATTCTCACATATTGTGTTTCCCAACCAGTTTCTTTCTGCTTCAGTAAAGATCAATCCTGGGGTTAACATTTTTTAAATTACTTGAGAGATTTAGCTGAAAATACTACCTTCAAGAGAAAGTTTATACAATCTATTTCTATGTCAGCCTCAGGGATTTCCAAAGCAGGAAAATAAATATCTTCACATTTAATTATTAGTTCTATATTTATTTACTTGTTTATCTAGTTATTTCAGTAAAATGTTTTTAAAAATTCAGATTTAGATTAGCTAGAGGGTTTCTATAGTTTTTGACTCACTTTGCCATCTCCTCTTAGTATATTATTAACTTGCCTCCTCATAAATGACCACAGTTTCTTTGTAAACAAGGCAATGTTTTTCTAAATTTGTATTGTTTTCATCTAACTTGTGCTTTTCTGCTCCTGCATTTCTTAAAATAATATTCAGTTTTACAGAGTCAATCTACTTAAAACTAAATGAATATTGAGCATACACCCATATTAAGTGGTCACTAAATTCTGAGAAAGAAAAATTAGGCTTCTGCTTGGGTTCATGGTCTTGTTCTTCTTACTGGATATACCTGCTTAGTCTGTATTTCTGTTTTGCTTACTATAACATAGACCTCAAGCTTTACGTCTTCTAAGCAAAGAAGAATAAATATAGACTTTTTATTTTTACACCTAAACAGTTGCCCCTGATGACCCCAGCAGAAAAATAGATGGTGATACCATTATTTTTTCAAACGTTCAAGAAAGATCCAGTGCAGTGTATCAGTGCAACGCTTCTAACGAATATGGATATTTACTGGCAAACGCATTTGTGAATGTGCTGGGTAAGCTCTTCCTTTATTAAAGACCCTGCAAATTAGGTAAATGACTTCTGTTGTTTCCCATTCATTCAGCGAAAATGCGCTGAGCATCTACTATGCGATACGGAAATGCTTAGCACTTGGAGCAGTAAGGGACATAGAAAAATGAATAAAATACAAACCTTGCTCCGTCTAAGGGGTCTTGCAGTCTGCTCTTAATGTTCTTTCGTAACACAGTATCTATCATGGGATATTCTCCTTGTACAAATGATCAAATAGTCATTCTTCTCTGTTCACAGATGGTTAGACCAGGTGTCAAACCCCTCAGTGGGAAAACAGCATCGATCTGTCGTTAGTAATGGAATATTATTGCTATTCCAGCCTTAAAAACTGACAACTTGAACAACAATTTCATGATTCTGATTTTTTAAAAATAAATCATTGATCATAATATTTGGCCTTCATCCAGGTTACAGATGTGCATTTATTTATTAATTCATAATACTTCATTTAGAAAACTGTATCATATTCAAACATATCCTGAAATGCTTGGTTTATGTGAACATTGTATTTCTCATAATGGACAAAACTACCAAAATACCAAATTTGTTAAAACTTTATGTGATATATTTTAAGACAGAAAAAAAAACCTGTATGTGAGAACTGTTTTCATGGTGCCAGGAAATTATATTTCAATTTAAGTGTAGTAGGCTCTTTTTCAAAGTTAAAGTTAGGAAGCCGACCAGTACTTGGTATTTTTCCTTCTTGTTTGAATGAAGGTCAAACCAAACGAGCTGAGCAGTTAAGATATTGGTGGATGTTTGAGAAGCACTTTTCATTTCTGGTCCTTTTTTTTAAACCCTTCAAGGATATGTTCACTGGTTCCAAAGAGAGAGGAAGGGAGGGAGGAAGGAAGGCGGGTGGAGAGGGAGAGAAGGAGAGACACCGATGTGAGACTGGTTGCCTGCCACAAGCACCACAACCGGGGATGTATGGGACAGCGCTCCAACAGGTTGCGCCACCTGGCCAGGGCTGGTTCTGCTTTTTAATCATCAGCACTCTGCTTGTTGTGCCAGCTCCATTCCCACCCCGCCCCCGTGGTAACTGTGGGGCAATGATGGGCCAGTCACCAACAAAACGTACTTAGCCATGGTATTTGTGCCAGACACTGTGCTAGTTTCGGGAGAAAAACAATAAAAGTCTCATTCTCTGCCCTCAAGGGACTCGTGGTACAGTAGGAGATACAGGTAAATAAATCAATTATTAAAATTCTCTGCTTGAGTAATACGTGAGGCCTGATGCAAAGAGAGAAAACTTTCATTTTTCCTCCATGAGTGACTGGTAGTGTCGTACCTGACAGAAAAGATAAGGGCAGAGGCATATATGTTGTACTTTACCATAAACTCTATTGGCCTTAAAACAAAATGCAATAAAATCCACGGTGGGTCTAAATGTTATTTCATTTTATATTTACTTTACCTTTTTATAATGTTTTCAGCTGAGCCACCACGAATCCTCACATCGGCAAACACACTCTACCAGGTGATTGCAAACAGGCCTGCTTTACTAGACTGTGCCTTCTTTGGGTCTCCTATGCCTACCATTGAATGGTAAGTATTGGCCCTACTTCTTTTTAATATTTACATTTGCCAAAGCCTTCATATTTTTCAGTGTGTTGGGTTAGAACAGATAGGGGAAAGAGAGGGCAGACCCATCATTCTATTAATTATTAAATTGATTCACAAATATTCGTTAACTACTTGCTCTGTGCTAAATATTTTCACACGTATGATCTATTTAGCAGCACACTTTGTCAACCACAGAGATATCTGTAAATTTTTTTTTAATTGAGGTTGCTGTATTTTACAATGCCACAGACATTACCTGGGACTTTGTGAATGGTGGCTGGAGGGATTGGTTAGGGACATTTCCTGATTGTTAAATATCATTTGGGATGGGGGAGAGATTCTATAAGCTCAAAATCAGAATTGTTTTTACTGCCAGTGTTTGTCTTTAGTACCTCTCCCCACTGAGTTTCCTGACCTGGATCCAGCCAAGTTCTCCTGTGTTCTTTCACTTCCTGTGCAGCCTGTGTCTTTCATACGACGCTCCTGATACAAGTTCTGTTCATCCTCCTAACCTGCTGACTTTAGTATGAGCCTGAAGAAACAAGGCTATCTTAGGCAACAGCTCAGATAGAATGAGTGAAAGAAAACTGGAACGTTCATTTATTGGTCCTCTATCAGGTGTCAGACACTGTGCTAGGCTCTGCCTACAATGACAGATGAAAGCCAGGTGCAGGGTTAAAGGATAATCTCACCACATCTCCCTTCACCCTCAGAGAAGCGTGGGTGCTTGTGCAGGTGATTTCCTAGTGAAGGTGGCAGGGTAATACTTAGTCCTGGGTGACTTGGCCTTTTCATCCGTCCTCCCTTCTGTCTCACACTAGCCAGGAAGCTGAAGGTACACATGATTTACATATATGCTTTATTTTTTTCTTCCTTGAATATTTTCCTGGTCATACTTTCAAAAGTATAACCTTTGTAACCTTGAAATCAAAATCTCTTTAGAACTGTATCCTGCAGATGGAGTTACAAACACATCGCAGTAGGGGAAAATGTCAGAAAGAGCAGTCTTCATTTTTGCCCATCTTATCACTTATTTAGAGAGTATGTAATAATGTGTCTATAAAATTGTGAATCTCTCATAAGGAAAATTACAATTTAAGTAGTATTTTGTACTGTCAGTCTAATTCTGGATGCATCAGTGATCATTGGATTCTCTAGTTTTACATTCTATCCTTACATGGACCAATATGCATACAATATGCTGTGCAGGTTCCAAACGCCTTTGAATTTGATACTATAATGCAGATCATGGTATGTTGACTGCAAATACAGCGTTCTACGTCTGACTTCAAGTTATAATGTGTTTTATTTCTCCTGGTGGTTATTTCCATAATGAAGGTTTAAAGGAGCTAAAGGTAGTGCTCTTCGTGAAGATACTTATGTTTTACATGACAATGGGACTTTGGAAATTCCTGTGGCCCAAAAGGACAGTACAGGAACTTATACGTGTGTTGCAAGGAATAAGTTAGGAATGGCAAAGAATGAAGCCCACTTAGAAATCAAAGGTAAGAAGTGACAAATTTTTTTTCAAGAATTTTGTGACTTTGAGCAAATTCTCCAGCTTTGGCAATAGATAACAATAACTTTACATTTCAGATCCAACCAGGATCATTAAACAGCCCGAATTCTCAGTTGTGCAAAGAGGGAGCACAGTGTCCTTCGAGTGCAAAGTGAAACATGATCACACCTTAATCCCTACTGTTCTCTGGCTGAAGGACAAGGGTGAGCTGCCCACTGATGGAAGGTATTTGAAAACGATTTCTTTCCTTTCTCTTGCTTCTCTCTTTAAGCTGCTATTGAATTAAAGGATTATTGTATAATGACTTAACCATAATGTTTTAAATGTTTCTGAAGTCTGCCCTCTCCAAAATAGATATGCATTTCCTCCCTGTCGTATAATGTTTGTACCTAAAAAGGCATCGAGTTATTAAAACAAGGGCCTGAGAATATTTGTCTATCACTGTGTGTTGTCTCCGTTGCAGTTCAGGATGAGAAAAACCTTTCAGGCTTTGGACAACATCTGTTGTTTTCTGCCTTGTGCTGTGAAATTTCAGCAGATGTTTTCATTACCATTCTACAAACAGGCAGAAAGTAAGACCTCTGTAATCACTGGAGTGTGCCCCAATCCTTGTATTTTAAAGGACACTAGTTTCTATTTTAATAGGGAGTTTTCTTTTGATTTTACTTAAAGCCAACAAAAAAGAGGAAAAAGTTTAAACAGCATTTAAAAGAGCCTGAGCCTGTTGCCGCCCCTTAGCTTGTGTGAGCATGTTATGGCCCTCAATGTGACCTAGCAACTACAGAGTTGAAGGTGTGGATTGCAGCTGTCTGAGTGTGACTACAAGCATCACCCCCTATTGGAAGGAATGCCAGGTGTGGGTGGGAATAGTTTTTGTGGTTTGCTTGCAGGGGGCAGAAATGGTGCCCTGTTGCTGTTAATAGCCCCTAAAAGAAAAATGTGGTCTTCTCTATATGCCCAGACTTTCCATCTAGTTCTATGCTTCCGCTGGTCACTTTTGCTTCTGGGATCTGAGTGACAAAGATGAGAAGAAAATATGAAGTAATGGCCTTCAGGTTAAGTTGGCTAAAGTTTTAACTTTGAAATTCTCTGTGAAGACAGTTAATAATTTATACAGCTTTGTTAAGACCTTGCATGAATTGATATAAGGATTCTCATGGATTTTTCACCTACTCAGTAATTTCTCACGACCGCAATGACCTTGAGAAAACTCTTCATGGTGACTGCTGATCTAAATCTTCCTGTGTGTAGTGACGCAGCTGATTTTGTCCTTTGCATTTACTTTTTCTTATAAGAATTTATACATGTGGCAGAAATGACACAAAATTTCTACAGTAAATACTGAATTACTTTAAAATATACACTCCATTAGAAATTGAGCTGGATGAGTGGTGTTCAAAAGTGTCTTAGTGGCAGAAGCCATAGGAAAGCCCTCTGGTAAGGTAACTGGAGCTGCCTCCCACCCACCCCCTTCCCCGCCTCTGGATGTCCCTGGTCTCTAAGAAAACTCCTAAAACTCCAGGGGCATGGTTGAACACCGCCAGACCAGACAACAGACAGCCCTGATAACCCAAGGTGATAATTCATTCTAATTGTTTTCCAGTTTGAATCATTATCAAAGTGGTATGTGTTGTATAAAATTTTTAGCTCTAATGTGCTGCAAATCTTCATCATCTTCCTCTTTTATCAAATCCACAGCTTCACGCCAGTAAAGCAATCATTAGTTGTGGTTAGATGTCCATTTCCATTGCTCTGAATGTGTTTTATTCACAGGTTCACTATTGACAAGGACCATTTGGTGGTAACTGATGTAAGTGACGATGATAGTGGGACCTACACGTGTGTGGCCAACACAACTCTGGACAACGTTTCTGCCAGCGCTGTGCTTATCGTTGTTGGTAAGAACTGGGACACACTCAGCACACCTGGCTGCCCCGTGTTAGGTGGAAAGGAAAAATTGTCAATAGTAATTGTTTGCTCATTAGAGTTTTACAACTTTATAGGTGAGTTATGTACTCATATGTTTCTTTCTTGGCAAGATACTCATGAGGTAATAATTTCAGTGTAAATATACTCTGTAGCAGTACTGGAATAAAGTAGTGATTAGGTATATTAGTCATACTTGTATTAAGAAATTGGGGAAAATAATCTACTTTTATTTCAAAGGGAAGCTTTTCCCCCCTAAATTGTTACTGCATGTTTATCAATTCCATATCTCACAGCTAAGCATAAAGCTTATTTAGTTTTATAATTTTAATCATGTTCAGTCTTTGTCTTCTTGTGCTATCTTTTATCTTTCCATTACTAATTGTGATTAAAATCCTTTATATTAATGTCCTTTCTAGCTCCTACTCCAACTCCAGCTCCCATTTACGGTAAACTAATGAGTCTTCTTTCTCTATTTTCTGTCACACAGTTCTCACATTTGCAGAAAAATTACTTTGTTCCATCATATCATTGTGTTCTTTAGGGAAAGGGGCTCTGTCAAATGTTCTGTTGGATTTCTCCTTTACTGCTATGCCTCTTTCTTCTTTATAACTGTGGAACTTTCTGCTGAATAGATTGCCAGTCTTTTCTAAAGATTCCATGTGTTATTATAGAGTCATTTCATTGGATACAAGTCCCTGTTTGATATAATTTCCTTGTAAAGAAGCATAGTGTTTTCTCAAAAGCTATTATCTACATTTGGAACGAAAAAGCTGTTTCAAGTATCCCACAAATCAGATTTTTACCTCAGTCTATTAGTAGTTATTTTAGGATTCCAGTTTTAAGAAATTTACATAGGGAAGCAATGGACGTTTAGAGCGACATTGGACCTTTGTATCAGAGAAAACCAACTCATTGTGCATTAGCAAAAGATAAATCATTCAAGAAAAAACAAAAGGGGTACTTAAGTTCTGTGAATGTTCTGAGTCTGGAAAATAAATCAGAAATATTTCCAGAAATCTTTTAGATTAAAGAACCCTCATCTTTATTCAGCATATAAATACATAAATTAATGTTCTGGCATAAACTCAGCTGGATTTTATACAGTATTATTAGTTGTGCTGTAGACCTGTCCTTTGTAGACATTTACTGCTACTTTACTGACAGGACAAAAATGCCCATATTTGTATATGGCTTCTGACCCCCCAAGAGCCACAGTCAACCCCAGGGCAAAGTCAGGAAGAGTCCCAGGGAGGAACACTAGCTGTCTGGATCTCAGAAGCACCATTAGAAGCACCATTAGAAGCACCATTAGCTTCTGGGACAGCTTCACCCTGAAAAGCATCTGTACCCTTGTGTCCTCTGAGAGTAAACACACCTCCCCATGTGCCTGCCTGACTTTGTACTGTGTATCTGTATAAGGTGTGCATGCTGGGGGCTACCTATATAGCATCAGTTTTAGAATTCCATTAAAAATATGTTCTTCAGGAGCCCCTAAAGCTATAATTTAGCTTAGCATGTTTTGGGAAGAACATTTGAGTCTTCTTTAGTCTTCTTTAAAATGTACATGTACTTGCCTGTGTATGATTTTCAGTGTCTACTATTCTGTTTTTTCATTTATTAGAAATCAAATTTCTATACATTTTTTTTCTGTGTTCACTCATTCATGTTTATTAGAAGACACATACTGAGAGTGCTGGTGAACCATCCATGCCTACTTCACTGGTTTTGGTTACAAGTAATTTAGTTTCATTTGAAAAAGAAACAAGCAGAACTCATTGACGGGTGTCTGGAGTGTGCTTGTGTGTTCCCAGCAACCTCAGTTGTTTCTGTTTCATTTCAGTTGCATGCTTGTTGACCATTCAGTGTGCTGTGTCTTTAATATGTCCCTTCTGTGAATAATATCACAAGTAAACAAGAGCCTCATAAGGATGGACGGTTAATTATGATGTCTGTGTTTTGGTCTACAGATGTCCCAAATCCTCCCTTTGATTTAGAATTGACAGATCAACTCGACAAAAGTGTTCAGCTGTCATGGACCCCAGGCGATGACAACAATAGCCCTATTACAAGTATGTGGTGTCATTCACTTTATAACATAAAAATAATGACCATTGTTGAAGCACTTTATCACATGCAGTTGAAATTCCACACAGAGATATTTGCTGGCACTCTCTGCTTCATCACTACTAGAACAGAAACATTTAGTCATGGCTCCCTTCAAAGCTAGAGTTATTTCTGTTACAGCTTTTGGGACAGGACACTAATTAATTGCTGAAGATGTCAATTATGTAAATACACTATCATTTTGTGTTTAAGATCCATAAGCATCACCTTAAATTTCTACCACAGGAGGAAGATGCATTCATTTTGCCCATTAACACGTGAGAAAAGGATGAGAGGGCCAGGTGCTATAATGCCTAGTCTACATGTTAGGAAATTGACACTTGGAGAGTAAAGTGACTCTTCAAACCTACACTTGGTAACAGAGCTGTGTGTTGACAGCAGGGTTGTTAACTTCCAGTCCCAGGTCTCTTTCTTCTAATCAGCCTTTACTACAAAGTGACAGCACAGTCAGCAATGTCAACTCCTCACCTTGATGACATAAGCCTAGGGAACAAAATCAGGTGAGGGACCATGCCATAAGGATACTGGAAAAGCTTAATAAAGTTAGGCTATGGATAAGCTTAGACATTTTAAAACTGTAAAGATACTTCAGTGCAGCCACAAGCAAGACACAAGCCTGTAGTACTACCTTCAGGTGTGTACTGCAGAAAAACTAAGTTCCTTTCTGCTGACTACCTCAGATTGCTCTGAAGTCCTGTGTGTGTTGATTTATTGCACATGCTGGTAAAGTAGAATATCGTCGATAAAATTAAACAAAGTCACCTCTCTATTTGGTGTAATTCAGTTGTGTTCTTTTCTCAATTGATTTTGCAGTGTCCATGATCAGAACACTCATTCATTCATACTGAGTCTTCCAGTTAACTCAATACATTCACCTGACTTAGGGCTAGTTTAGCATCCTATCTTAGGATGCTCGGAGACTTTGTTGCAATGATAGGATTAGATTCCCAGGCATCTCTACTCATTCCTTCATTCACACCTTCATTCAACAGGTATTTACTGAGTGTCCATTATGTACCAAGCATTGTTCTAAAACAAAACAATAAAATAACCTCTGCTTATATGGAGCTTATATTTTACTCGAAGGCACAAATGAGATAAAATTAATTACATATTATGTTAGAAATAATGTCATCATATGTTGATGTACATGTATATGTGTACACATGCACATCTCAGAACTCCCTTCAAGAAGAAACCTGCTGTAAGGACTGTTAATAGCAGGCTCCATCTGCTGCACCCCCCCAAAGACCCGCTGCAGTGTTCACATGACACCACTATCTTCCTAAGCCACTCCAGTGACTGAGCACAGCAAGCGTCCTAGAGCGCAGATGCACCCAGCACAGGACTTGACTCTGGGCTCCTGGTGGTTGAGACGAGACTGCAGTCTGAGGCTTTTCCTACACACTGCTCCTTCCTTCCCCCTCGCCTTTCACAGACATCAGACCTTTATCTGAGTCTGAAGATCTTCCCTGCCTACTCCTGCTTTCTCACCCTTTTATCTCCCATAGGCATTTCCCCCCAGATCCTCTTGCACTTCTAATTCTGTCCTAACATCTGCTTCTTGAAGGACTCAAACACATATAAATCTATACATAAGGTTGATGTGTGTGTGTGTATATACATTGTAAGTGTGTGGTGTGTATTTAGGCCATGCAGAAAACAACAAAGAGTGAGAAGGAAGTTAAGGAACATGGGGGCCCAAGGTATAGTTATGTATAGTGTGTTCAGGAAAGGCCACAGTAAGGCCACATATGTGTTTGAGTCCTTTAAGGAGAAGATGTTAAGACAGAATTAGAAGTGCAAGAGGCTTTGGGGGGGAAATGCCCATGGAAGATAACATTTGAGTATGTCAATAAAGACATGAGAAGGGGAAAAGTGAACACACTATGCAGTTTCTGGGGGTGGGGTGGGAAAGTTTCCCAACACAGCAAGAAAAAGAGCAAAGGACACCCTGGAGAGAAGCAGGGGCATATCTGCTAGGAGGCCAGTGTGGCTGAGTGAACTGAACAAGAGGAGGTGAAGTAGGAGAGAATGTCAAAAAGGCAGAGTTGGAGAGTGGGCATGGAATGTGAACTTGCAGTGTCTGGTACGCCATTATAAATGTTTGGGAAGTCATTGGAGGAATTTAAGTAGAGTAGTGTTCATGGATCATGTTGTTATTCTACTGAAAACAACAGTAGTCTCTGTTCTCAAACTGCATTGAGTACCCTGAGGAACCTCAGCAAATTTACAGGGGTGCTTCAGGATATTTTTTTAAGTTTTTGAATTTTAAATTTGGATATTTGAAAAACAGAGATGTCTATCACATGAAATATTAGCTTGAAGCAGTTTGAAGTTTTGACATGATATTGCTATATCATATTATAGTGATGTCATATCTCTGCAAAGCCTTTGCTGTGATAAAAAGCAAGGACTGTATGAAAATCAGCACAGAACAGAAAACAAGGAAGGTGGTGTCCAATCTGTTTACAAGGTTTCAGATGTTATGAGGTACCCATAGGTTTTAGTTTTTAAGACATGAATATTAATTAAGTTAAATAGACCTAACTACTTACCTGGAAATGTTAGTCACTTCTTTTTCTCCAAGAGAGTCATGAAACAAATTTCTAAACACTCAATGCACCATGCACTGAGAAAGTTTGGAAACCTGTGAGTTAGTAGGATGTATAATAACTGAGGCAAGAGATTAAGGAGGCTTGGAATAGGCAGAGAGCAATGGACTTGCTGAAAATAGTCATATTTGCATATATTTTGAAGTAGAGCCAATGAGACTATTGGGAGTACAAAAAAAGGAAAGGAGCTAAGGACTTCAAGGTTTTGACCAGAGTTGTCACGATGAAGTAGGGAAGCAAGATGGAGATGAGTCTTGGTCATATCCAATTTAAGTTGCTGTAATAGACAAACTAGTGAAATTGCTGAATAGGCAATTAATTATCCAAGTATCCAGTTCAGGGAAAAGGGAGGGCTGCAGATATAAATGTGAAAGTCATTAGTTGATGAGACTAAAGATCACCTCCAAATTAATGTAGATCGAAAGGAGAAACCATAAGTACTGAGCTTAAGAGCACTGTAACACATGATGTTCCTAGTTCATCTTTGTATCTATAATTTATCTTCTTGTACATGGCACTTAGTAGGCAATTAATGAATATCCAAATGCCTATTTTTATAAGAGTAAAACATGTACATACCACAATATCTTGGTAGATGCAAAAGGATATGCATTAGAAAATGAGTCTTTCTCCCACCCAATTCCCAGTTCCTCCAGCAACACCAGCATATATATGTATCTTTTGAGAGGTAATACATATGCATTCAAGCATATATGGATATATATGTGTCATAGTAAACCTTTTCACCTTTACACAGGTGTGGTATCTGGCACGTACTGATCTATACCCTACTTGGTTTGACTTAATGATGGATTTTAGAAATCACTCCATTTCAGTACATGCGGAGCAGCCCCATTCACTTTTGACAGCAGCAGAGTGTTCCATTGTGAGGATGCACAATATTGTATTTAATCGATTAGCTTGTTTCAAGTGCAGACAATGCTGCAATGTGAATCTTCTTCATGTATCTTTGAGTACATGTGTGAGTGCATTTATTTGAAATAAATTACCATCAATATAATTTTTCATTCAAAAGGTATCTGAGTTAAAATATGGTTAATGCTCTAAATTGTCCTCTGTAGAAGTTGTACCAATTTACACTTCCCACGAAGTATGAGAATGCTTGTTTATCTGAGTCACAGTCAACAAAGTGTGTTCAACTTTTGATTGTTGCCAGTTTAGTAGAAAATGGCATCTCACTGTATTTAATTTCACTTCTATTATGAAAACATTAACTATCTTTTCATATACTTAAACATTCCTAGGGATATATGTGGATCCCTTCTAAAAGTTAAAGTAACTAAACTCAGCATGCCAGAGAAATATTATTAGGTATGCTTAAGTGTTGAGGATAATGATAGAACTCTGAAATCAAAATATTCTAATGAAATATTTCTTGAAAGCAAAATAATTCATGTCTGGCTAATCATGTCAGATTGCCCTATTAGTGATTCTAGCAACCTGCCCTCGAGTGACTGAATCCACTGCCTTACATTCGTTGTGTGTGTGTGTTACGGCCAGAATTTATCATTGAGTATGAAGATGCAATGCATGAGGCGGGGCTATGGCACCACCAAACTGAGGTTCCTGGGACACAGACCACAGCCCAGCTGAAGCTGTCACCTTATGTGATCTACTCCTTCCGAGTGATGGCAGAGAACAGCCTCGGGAGGAGCTTGCCCAGTGAGCGGTCTGAACACTATTTGACTAAAGCTGCAGGTAAAAATGGACTTTTGTGATGTGAAATAAAATAGAAAAGTTTTCCACTGTTTGAAAAAGACAAAGCTTACATGTATACAACTGCTTAACTTCTAGAACCGGATAAAAATCCCACAACTGTGGAAGGACTAGGATCAGAGCCCGATAATTTGGTGATTACATGGAAGGTGAGCTACGTATAAAGCCCTCGACTTTGCCCAGTATATTGGTAGAGTGAAAAAATACTTGTTTTAAAATAATATCTGTATTAAAGTCCCATTTTACCCATTTGGGGAAAATATATATTATATATCTTTATATAAAAGACTGTGTTGAGCAGTAGTTAAAATCTCAATCCTTGGAGCAAATAAGAATGAGTGCATATCCCACAGCTTTGCCACTTACTGTGTGGCTTTAAGCCAGTTGTTTAACATCTCCATTATGTATTTTGTATAATTAGCATAATAATAGAAACAACCTCATAAGATTTAAAGAGTTAATATCTATAACAAAGCCTAGCACATACATATGCTCAATAAATGTTAGCTAGTATTATCATCATTATAGAGAACCATCTAGAAAATATGTACCAATATGTACCAACTTATTCACCCTAGTCAACTTCTGTTTTTCTTCTTCCTTCCTTCCTTCCTTCCTTCCTTCCTTCCTTCCTTCCTGCCTTCCTGCCTTCCTGCCTTCCTTCCTTCCTTTCTTTTTCTTTTTTTGGCTTATCTGTATTTTCTAGACGTGGAAAAGTCATATACCATATAATTTGAAAAACTTGTTTTAGATAGACTTTATTGTGCATACTAATATGCAAACATATATTTGTACATACTTATATACACACCTACATGTAGAAAAAGGATAGGGTGACAAAAAAACTAGCTTTTTTTAATAAAGAAAGAAGCAGTTCATAAGTTTTATTCTCCAAGCGAAACATCAATGAGGTACATTACACAAACAGGAGTATGAAGGAGCCTATATTACTGAACTTTGGAGCCCGAGTTTGAGAGGCTTATGTTGTTGGTATTTACTACTTCAAGATAGAAATTAACAACTTTTGAAATATTTACCACAAAACAAGCTTTGAATCTCATCAAAAATGAAAAAAAATAAAAGGTCATATGTTAATGGCTTACATTTTAGTGTTTCAGTGCTCACTTTAAGTCTGAGAATTGGTTTTGCTGTTCCTGTAAAAGGTTATGTGTATTCGATCTGTTTTTATAAGCCCTAATTATCTGGCTTTTCTTGTAGCCTTTGAATGGTTTTGAATCTAATGGGCCAGGCCTTCAGTACAAAGTAAGCTGGCGCCAGAAAGATGGCGATGATGAATGGACGTCTGTGGTTGTGGCAAATGTATCCAAATATATTGTCTCAGGCACGCCAACCTTTGTTCCATACCTGATAAAAGTTCAGGCCCTGAATGATGTAGGGTTTGCTCCAGAACCAGCTGTAGTCATGGGACATTCTGGAGAAGACCGTAAGTGTCTGATACTGTTTCATTTATACTTTTTCCCAGCAAAGCAGACTTACCGAAGTGTAAGCCAAGTCTTTTTCCAGAGGTGCTTTGACTGGGAGGAAGACAGGAAGCAATTATTTTGTTCAACATTTCTGAATTTAGATAGTCTGCTATGTAGAAAATAGATTCAAAATGTTAAAAGTTATTATTTTTAAATTTTTATTTTTTTTTTTATTTAAAAACCAAAAAAATAAAAAGATATGTTATTCTTATAAAGTCAAATGGATAGATACCAAAAATCTACTCTCAATCCTTGATAATTTGTAGAATAGGGCTGGGGCATGCTTCAGTGAAGCTGAATTACTAGAAAGTGGTATTTTTTTGCATGAAACTCAGAATAACATCGCTACTTCTATCCTCCTTCCCTGTCCCTAGTCCCAATGGTGGCTCCTGGGAACGTGCAAGTGACGGTGGTGAACAGCACCTTAGCTGAGGTGCACTGGGACTCAGTTCCTCTGAAAAGCATCCGAGGACACCTACAAGGCTATCGAGTAAGTGTAGGGGGACCTTTCCTGTTCTTTCCTTAGGAACAGCCCATCAGTGAATGCCAGATGCACTTCTCTTGGTTGGAGGAGGCATTCAGTTCCTCTGGTGTATCGCCCTGGGCAAGCCACATCTAAACAACCCCTGCTAAAGCTGAATCAAAATCTCCCTGCATCCAAAGTGAGAAAAGAAAATGTTTTCTCCATTTTTCCCACAGATTTTGCCAACCGAGCAATTAACTTATGCACAGTATGGGGAAAACTAATGTTTAAAATACTAAAATATGATCAGATGCACCCAGGTTTAAAACAATACTGAGCACATGCATTGAAAACAGAAATTATCCTGAAAATAATGCAGAAAAATTTTCTACATTATTAAAAATAATTCAGAGTATATTTTCATATAGTACCAAATGGGTCATTCTTAAGAACATCAATTATCTTTGTTCTTGGGAAACACAAACTGTTTCTAGAGAATTTCTTTTGATTGATTGATGGTCAAAGAACTGTTTTTACATCCACAAAAAAAAAGTCACTACTTTGATTTGTCAACTCTGACCCCTAGAGGTCACTTTTTGCACTGCATCATGTTCAATTATGTTTTTTTGTTTAACATTGCTAGATTCTGTAGTCAGTGTCTCCTAAAAATGTCTTTAAACTCCTAAGAAGAGTTTAAGAGGACATAATAAACAACAATTCTGGATTTTTAACCAGACTTAACAAAAACTTTGTTAATCAACTACAAAAAATAGATAAATAAATAAATAAATGTGAAAGCCCTAGACTTAACGTGAAGGCTTCACTGTCCCTCTTGATTGCCCTGTGGCTTTAGATAAGTCACTTGGTAACTGGGAGGCTCATCTGTACTATAGGAATAATAATAATAAAATATTCACTGTGGTTTTTAGGATTGAACTAAATTATATATTGTACATGAAGTTCTAGTAACTCTGGAAATGTATATAAAATATTGGACAATAATTTTACTTTTAGAATATTTTATATAAGACATTTAAATTCTCCTATTATCTTCTCTTTTTTCCATTTATTTTTCTTCAATTTTTTATTCTTTTTTATTCTATTACAGTTATCCCAGTTTTCCCCCTCTGTCCTCCTTCACCCAGCCCACCCACCTAGTCAGTCCCCATAACTGTCCAAGTTCATGGGTCATGCTCTTTGACTAGTCCTTCCCCCTCTTTCTACCATTTTCCCCTCTCCCTTCCCTCTATCATCTGTCAGTTTGTTCCATGTTTCCATGTCTCTAATTCTATTTTGCTCATTATTTTATGCCGTTCATTACATTCCTCTTATTAATGAGATTATATGGTATTTGTCTTTCACCAACTAACTTATATATCAATGGAACAGAATAGAGAGTGAAGAAATAAATCCATGTCTTTTTGGTCAATTTATGTTTGACGAAGGGGGCAGAAGCATACGATAGAGTAAAAATAGTCTTGTCAATAAATAGTGTTGGGAGACCTGGACTTAGTACATGCAAAAAAAGGGAAACTAGAGCACCAACTTACACCATACACTGGAATAAACTCAAAGTGGATAAATACATAAAAAGTTGTGACACCATAAGAGTCCTAGAGGAAAACATAGGCAGGAAAATTTCAGATATCCCATGTAGCATTATTTTTGCCAATATATATTCTAGGGCAAGGGAAATAAATGAAAAAATAAGCAAATGGGACTACATCAAATTAAAAGGCTTCTGCATGGCTCAAGCAACTATTGTCAAAATCAAAAGGAAACCAACTATATGGGAGAACATATATTGCCATTGATATAGCAGACAAGGGTTTAATCTCCAAAACATATAAAGAACTCATACAACTCAACATCAGGAAGACAATCCAATTAAAAAATGTGCAAAGGCTCTGAATAGACACTTCTCCAAGGAGGACATACAGATGGCCCATCAACATATGAAAAATGTCTAGCCATCAAAGAGGTACAAATTAAAACTACAATGAGATATCATCTCACAACTGTCAGAATGGCTATCATTAATAAATCAAAAAACAACAAGTGCTGGCAAGGATGTGGAAAAGGGGAACCCTAGTGCACTATTGATGGAATTGCAGACTGGTGCAGCCACTGTGGAAAACAGTATGGAATCTCCTCAACGAAATAAAAATGGAACTGCTTCATGACCCAGTGATTCCACTCCTGGGAATATACCCTGAGTCCCAAAACACCAATTCAGAAGAACCTATGCACCCCTATTTCATAGCAGTGCAATTTACAATAGCCAAGTGCTGGAAAAAGCCTAAGTGCCCATCAGTGAATGAGTGGATTAAAAATCTGTGGTGCATTTACAGCAGAAAGATAGAAGAAATTCCTACCATTTGTGACAGCATGGTTGGAACTAGAGACTATTATACTAAGTGAAATAAGCTAGTTGGTGAAAGATAAATCCTTTTATTGTCTTTTAGAGAGAACTGCATGGGTGCAGTTCATTTATTTCACTTACATTCCTCCAACAAAATAGTATAGAGTCCAGCTTTATCCCATATTCTTAATTTAATTTTCCTCATTCTCTGGGGACTTCTTACCCTCTTGCCTCGAAGTCAATATTTCTCAGTTTTACCAGCAATCCTCTAAAATGTACAACAGGCATTTTCTGGAAAAGACTCCATTAAAGACCTTTAATCTTATTTGCTTCCTTATACATCCCTGGCTGTTGTTCTTGCTGCTTCAGATTTACTACTGGAAGGCACAGAGTTCATCAAAAAGAAGCAGACGCCACATTGAGAAAAAGATCCTCACTTTCCAGGGCAGCAAGACCCACGGCATGTTGCCCGGGCTGGAGCCCTTCAGCAACTACACGCTGAATGTCCGTGTGGTCAACGGGAAAGGGGAGGGCCCAGCTAGCCCGGACAGAGTCTTTGGGACCCCAGAAGGAGGTACGAGGTGGACATGTCTCTGAGATCCTAGCAACATATGGCCCATGCTAAGAGGCTCTGAATGACAGAATGGCCCTGATAAAGTGTATTTATTGTAGGAGCCAAATGTGATTTCCCGGAGATGAATACAGGATGCACAAAGCTGGCAAAGTGTCAGCTTGTATGTGGACTGAGGGTGCAGATCACAAAATGATGCCCTAAAATGCCATCTCTCTTGACTTTAACTTTTTTCTCCATACTTAGTCACACTCTCAGAAACCTTGCTAATCAGATGTTTATTTGGGTCATTAACTTCCTGACTGGAAAGCAAATTATATAACTTTTATAAGCCTCAGCTTCCTCATTTGAAAAGTGTGGGAACTAAATGTGAAATTCTAAGAAAAATATCTGGAAAAGAAAATAATTCTCTAAATAATGATTTACTTCTGTCTCAGTGCACTTTCATAGTTTATGGTAAACATGAGCTAAGTTAGGTGGTTGGGAGTCTTGTCAAAACAGATTGGGAAGAGAAGGAAAAAGTCATTGCTAGTACGGGCCACCACAAGGGGAAGAGGGGGTGGACCCACATATATGTCATGTGTGGGGAAGGGGGGGCAGGAGGAGTTTGGACAAGCATATGGGAGCCTCGGGATGAGGGAGAGAAGGGCCATAAGTAAGAGAGATAGGAATTTGACAAGGCGCTGAAAATAGGCCTTCCCTATCTTGGTTTTACCTCAAGCCAGTATTGAAAATGAGCCAGATAACGCCTATGGACTCAATAAGAGTTCTTTTAGAGAGAAGCAGTTTACAGACAAATCCATCCTGGCTCCTTGTTGCAGAACTCATGATGTCAGCTTCCCAACAGCCTCTGCAAGTCATCCTGTGTCCCAGGTCCCATGTCTTGATGACTGCTGGTCCTCGGTCTCATTGCTCCTTGGAGGTTAAGGGCTCCTTCCACTCAAGGCTTTCTCTAGTGAGACACCACACTGGTCCTTTAGATGGTTCAGGGGGAGGTGTCACAGAAGAGATGACCAGGGGATGAAAGGATAAAGAAGAGAGGAAGTTGTGTGCTCAAAAACACAAAGGTGTGACACAGCATGGGTCCTTCAGGGAGCTGCAAGTAGTGTAGCTAAGAATAGTGAGAAAAGAGGGAAAAGTCAGCTAGCAAGGAGCCATATCCTGGATGGTCTTAAACACCATGGATATTAAGCCAGAGGCTCTTAACCTGGGGACTATAGTTGCACAGATCAATGAATGCATTTAAGGAGCTCTATGAACCTCAATATTGTAGAAAAAGCTGTATATTTTTCTAGGGAGTGTTTATGGTTGTCATCAGATTCTAAAAGGGGTCTTTGATTTTCTAAAGTTTAGAACCACTTACCGGTTTGGGGAAACTTAGAAATATGTGCCAGGTGTGTTCTGGGCCCAGGCAAAGGCCACAGAGGCCCTGAAGTGGGTGGCAGCAGAGAGCAGAGGAGGGAGTGCATATTGTCGAGATGAACGAGGTGGATGACACAGTATTTAGTGGCCCAGGAAGTGGTGGGAATGAAGCAGAGGGAGTGACTCAGGATGACTCCCTGGCTGGAGTGGCAGGAGGGACAGCGGTGGCAGGCTGGGGAGAGGAGGTAATGATCACAAGGGAGAACTGCCACCATCCATCATCCTCTTGAAGGAGTGACTAAAAGGGGCCCAGGCATGTCTCCTCTGGTAATTTGCCAGCCTCTGCCACAGAGCACCTGTCACCTGCAGGCCTGCCCCGGGGTCAGGGTTTGCCGCACTGGGGCTTTTGTCCGTCCTCACCATGAGACTCTGGGCGTCTGTCGACTCTCCAGGTGTGAACTACTCTATACCTGGGCAGGCTGGCTCATGCCCAGAGCCCAGCGGGCAGGATGTTCTGACTGCTTGGAAACACCTGGTTTGTTGGGGCAGACAAGCCTCAATAGCGCAGAACACAGCTGCTTCTCCTCAAAAGTCTGGTTAGAACAGAGTCAGTCACTAGTTTGCTTTTATTAGGACTTCATTCAGGAAACAAGTAGTCTCTTATTTTTTTTCTTTTTCCCCCCCCCCCCCCCCCCCCCCCCCCCCCCTCCCCCCCCCCCCCTTTTTTTCTTTCTTCCCCCTTTTCTCCCCACCCCCCCCCCCCTCCTTTTCTCCCCCTCCCTCCCCTCCCTCCCCCCCCCCCTCTCCCTTTTTTTTTTTTTTTTTTTTTTTTTTTCCTTTTTTTTTTTTTTTTTTTTTTTTTTTTTAATTTTATTAACTTTATTGTCTCTTTTAAAAATATTGATTTGGGTCCATATGTAGGCAAAGTCTGTATATTTGAGATAATGGTTTTAATGAATCTAAATGGAAATCCATTCTCTTAAAAGAAAGAGAATGGATAAATGGGTACCTGTCACAGATTTCTGGTAATGTATTTTCAGCTAAATCAGGAACAAGAATGTGCTACAAAACCCCAAAATCTTGATGAATTTGTGTGAACATGGTGACGTATGTCATTTTAATACATTTTGAAACACTGGAAAACCTTTGTGTTGACTGTGTTCTCATTGTAAGTTCCCAGTGCCCCGTCCTCTTTGAAGATCATTAATCCAACACTAGACTCTCTCACTTTGGAATGGGATCCACCGAGCCACCCAAATGGCATTTTGACTGAGTACATCTTAAAATATCAGCCAAGTAAGTTATTGGGAGAAGAAGAGAAAATATCATTCAAAAAGAAAAAGAAACTTAACTGCTATATTAAAATACCAACTGGTTATTATTTTAGAACTGTAGAATATATACATACAGGGTCCAGTGCAAATAATGCCTTTTATTACAAAATCTTTATTACAAAATTATAAGCCTGTAATTCTGTAACATATCACACTTAAGCATACCATGTGACATTTTAGGCAAAATATTCTCATAAAAACTATAAATTATTACACCCAGATCATTACCCTACAAACCACAGACAAGCAGACATTACTTCTACTGGACCCTGTATACGTTCAGTTGTTATTCCAGAAGGAACTTCAAATCATACTTTTTAAAGAAAAATTACACATATGTTACTGAAAATTCAGTATTCTGTAGAATAATAAAGACCTTTGAGCATGGGGCTTAGGTAACAGCTATTGTTAGGTTAGGTAGACATTATCCATAACTAGGAAATAGTAAGAAGAGGGGTTCCTATGGCACAAGTCCTCTGAAGAGGAGGTTTGGGGTTATTTAACAATGTACGACTCCACCTGCAAAATCTCTGAGATGAGAAATGCTACTGAAAGTCAACTGTAGGATTCGCCCAGCTTAGAAACCAGTGGAGAATGTATTTCCTCTTGTTATGCCGTATTATAGGAACTGTAAAAGCCTGTCAGTTATGTCGGGCAAAAAGTGAGTGTGGTTACAAAAGTCAGTGTAATCCAAGCCTGACGTTTTTAGTGAACACATTTATTTATAATAGTATTCCTATAGCAATTAATGGGAAATGTTCTTGTTTCTTATTTTCCTTGACAGTTAACAGCACCCATGAATTAGGCCCACTGGTAGATTTGAAAATTCCTGCCAACAAGACTCGCTGGACTTTAAAAAATTTAAATTTTAGCACTCGGTATAAGTTCTATTTCAATGCACAAACATCAGCAGGATCAGGAAGTCAGATAACAGAGGAAGGAGTAACAAGTGTGGATGAAGGTAAGATGGGTATGTATAAAATCCATAAAACTATAAGTGTTTTGAAACAAAAATTTTAACTTAAATTTATGCTTTCTCTTTCCTTCTGACCGTGGAGTATTCATCTTACCACTTAATACAAACACTTATTTGTAATTTCGCATTCAGATATGTATAAAATCAATTATTTAATTCATATTAGAGTGATGACTTGGTATTTGTTTTCCAAGTCCATATAAAATTTTTAAACTTCTGTTAAAATATTGAGGTAAGAGTGGGAAATTACAATATTATGCCACACTCGAATTCAAAATTCAAGGCATTGTGTTTCCTTCTACAAATAAATATATGTAATTCTACTTCTGGTCTTCATTCACAAGAAAATAATTTGCCAGTCCACATACTGATTTAGGTTTTTGCAATGAAATTGAAACAGTTATTAAACAGTACATTTATTTTGTGTTTGAGCATGACACTTTCTACCTTAGTAGGCCATCTACACATAGAAAGCAAAATAACGCCATTAAAGTATCTAAAAAAGGAGTCAACACTTTCAGTCATACTTTTAAAAATTATTCTGAAAAATTTTGAAAACGTCAATAAAAATGATGAAAAATACTGTAAAAAACTTTTCTCTCTTTGCATGTCTTTAAATTGTAGAACTGCTTAAGGATTATTTATTTGACTGTTTTTCATAGCATAATAAATTGACATCTCTGCCCAAAAATTGTCTTGAGATATCCTAGGCCTTCTTACATAATAGGCAAGTATGAACAGTGTACCTTAAGTAAAGTATAGATTTGATTACTGGGTAATTTGGGGGACACCGACATATCTTTGTCCCCTGTACCTGACATGGTGCACTTCATTCTTCTTGCATGCTCTAGCATTTTAAAGTGTTTTTATACAGCTTTACATGCTCATGGATGTGCTGCATTTAACTACATAGTGTCCTGTTTCTGTCTCCCTTCGTTAAAGCTGGTATTCTTCCACCTGATGTAGGTGCAGGCAAAGGTAACATAATTCATCTGCATGACTTTATTACACGTGTGGAATTTGCAATGTTCATTAAACATGGGGAAGTGCAGCATGGGTTAAAAGAGAAAAAATAAAATAAGCATCAAAACACTAAAAAAAGAGAAGATCTTGGAAGATCTTGGCTTTAAAATTAATATCTAGTCTTCTTTACAAATAGCCACATTAAATTCTGCTAAGAATTTCTCAAACCTTATCCCTGCTACAAACCCAAATGTTAGCTTTTTATGATCTGACTGTGGCTGGATCAGACAGGACCAAACTGTGGATTTGTCACGTGTCTTCTATATGGCCATGCCACATATTGCAGCTTCAGCAGTATTAGTCCCGTGGTTAAAATAGCCTGTGAGGAAATCGGGTAAACTGAGCTTTCCATTCTAATCTGATTCAGCCTTACTCCTCACAGACACAGTGTACACTCTGCTGGCAACACACTACACTGTCCGTTTGAAACTTTGGACACCCTTTCACTGGCCTGAGACTAAACGCATCCCCCCAGGACCGCGAAGAGCAAGTCTTCCAGTCTGCCCGCATGCTCTCCTCAGTTGTGTTACTCCATCCCGTTGTCACCAGGCTGCTCAGGTCCCCTTCTCCTGAGTAGCAGCCAACTGTCACAGTGGATTACTTTTGTTTCCCTTATTTCTCAGAGCTCACTGAGTGAGAAAGATTTGTTGGGAGAATGGTGCTTGATGAAGTTGTAATGTATCTTCCACGTGAGGCGTCCCAGAGATCCTCCCGTTTACAGCTTTGGATGCTGTTTCCATGTAGTTTCCTTGGGCTTTGACAGACTAGATGAGGCAAATAGAAAAGACTATGAGAAATAAGTGCCTTGTCCTAAATTATTCAAGTCTTGTGAGCTTAGGCCTGATATATATCTTTTTTTTAGAAAGCTGCTTGTATTCAGAGTCTTGGTAAATTATTAAATGTAGATTAGATTTTGGAGTCATTGAATAAGAACTGCAGCCATTTTCAGTAATCTTAATATGTTGTACATGTGTTTCTTAGACATGAACAAAGTTGTAAAAATTCAGAGTTTCCACAATATTGTAGAAAGATGTAAACCCCTCCTTTATATGTGTTCTTCTCTCCTGAGATAATTAGGTGTCAGTTAAAACCCTTGGTTGTTTTACTATAATTTACCGCCGCGCCGCCCCCCCCCAGCCTTTCACTGGAGCTTCCAGAGAAGGTGGCCTCCTCCTAGAGTGAGGGGCCCCTGCCGCTGCTCCGCCTGCCCACGGACAGAGAGGTCCTGCTGCAGCAGGGGTGCCTGCAAGGCCAGGCAGAGTTTTTTACTGACTTGTCATGATAGTGAACATGCCATCCACTGGGGGGAAGTCATCTACCTAGATTAATATATTAAAACTAACTACAATAAATTTTTATTAAAATAATTTAGGTTTTACCATTTAGTGTTACTAAATTGAATTACGAATTACTTATGAAACAAGTAAAAATGGAGTGTCAGAAGGTTCTTGAAGCCCCCAGTGTTGAAATCTGATGGATCTCAGATCAGAGAAATAGCATTTAAATTTCTGAAGAAAGCTAAGTCTATCCTTATTTTCTATATTGTTTCTTTTAATAGTACTCCAGTAAATAAGCATTGCTTGCATAAAGCAATGACATTTTACTGGTAAGACTTTAAGCTGCTTAGAAAGAATTCTTTATCCTGGGCTTTCCTCCCTTAAAAATAGATTTTTTTTCAATCTAAGAATAAGTTTTATCTTCTTTATTTTTCTTCTCCAGGTGGAGCTTAGCCACTTTCTGACAGAGGAGAAGAATAAAAGTGCACCACAGTCTTTCCAAACTTTAATATTTTATATTTCTTTTATATATTAATTTAAAACAATATGAAAGAGAACAAAGAAGGCAGGAATTAACTTCTGGTTGAGGGAGAGGAAAGAGATGCATCTAACTTTATTTTTTTAATTTTCCTACAGATTTTAAGAGATATTAATGAAACCCAAGCTTACAAAAGATAGATATACTTACAAATATATACTTACAAAAGAATTATTTAAACCACAAAGAACAAGCCAGGATAATTCCATTTGCGGTGTTATGCCTGCTTTCCCTTTTCCGTAACAAACATTCCCTCAGTTTGATCGTGGAAATACCCCTATTTTCCGAGTCACTCATTTTGACCCACATCCTTATTTGTTTTCAGTATTTCCGTAAGAATCATAGCTGCTTGGCTGCATTTGTTCAACTTCTGTGTCCCTTGAAATAGTTTCGTGTCTGGAACTCTAGGAAATACACCATGAAGGCATCTATAAAAGTGACCTGAAACATGCTAACGGCAGATTTGAGTTAAGGTCTCAGTATGGCTGATGGGTGGACAGTGCTTCATCCAGAGCTTGTACTTTCTCACCCTTGAGACCAGACTTCAGAACACTGTTGTAAAGTTAGGGCACAGGAATAGGGAGAAACCAAGTAGCAAGTCAGAATCTGAACCTGTTCCTTGACCTAATTAGCAGCTGACTATTAATTAAGAGGAGTACACTGAGGAACTGGTGACAAATCCTCTCTGTGGTCAGACCCTCACTATATAATATGTCAGAGTTGGTCCCATCTTTACCAGTTAGGTCAAGAAACAGGAAAAGCTAAAGGACCAGTAAATTAAAATGAAGTTTAAAGTTCACAACTTTATTTGGCCTGAACAACAAAAAAAACTACATAGAAGTTTCAGTCAAGTTCAACAGCCAATGTTTAAATGCCACATAAAGTGCAACAGCCTTTTATAAGATCCCACGTGAGATCTAGATGGTGAAACACACCCACCTTTGATGTTTAACACCCGTCAATTAAGACCAATGTACAAGAAAGTAAAAATAGATGCTAAACTACTCATGTGAACAAAATCTTATGTAAGCACAGAGTAGTGAATCATTTATTTTGCTAAGCAGGATCAGGAAAAACTTCAGAAAGAAAGCAATAATGGACTAGGCCTTGAGACAAGAATTTTGGCAGATGAGTCGGGGTTGAGATGCGTAGATTCTTGGTAGGGTAAGAAAGGCATGGGGTTTGAAAATCCACAGAAAATTTGGGTTATATCCAAAAGTCCAGTTTGGCAGAAATGTAGAAGTACATGGAAAAGAGAACCTGAGATGTGCCTGAAGAGGTAGGTGAGGCCAGAATGACCCTTAACAGCCATGCATGCCTTGCTAAGGAATTTAGATTTACCTCTCAGTAGCAGTAAGTCATCTCCATGTTTTAAACAGAAATGATAGAATCAGATATGTAGTTCTGAGGTGAAAGTGTTGGTAACTGCACTGGCAGAATCTACAAAGAAAGACACAGTAAGAAGAGAGACTGGAGGCGGACTCCTGAGAAAGCCCAGCTGAGAGATGACTCTAGCTCATCCCTGGAAACTGTCCACACATCAAAGGTGCTCAGTATGTGTTTAGTAAGCAAGTGGATGAGTGGGGAGTCAAAGCTAGGAGAGTTGGAATTCTCTGGTAGAAGGGGCCAAACAGCATCACCTCAGACAATTACAGTATCTTCTCTGGGTCTCTTTAAGCTACATGCTCTCCTGTTGACAGTATTTCACTATGGTCCTGCCCTGACCATCTTCCATGGTCACTCCAGACTACATTGCTCAAGTTCCATAATTCTAAACTCTTTTAAAGAAAATAAATGTTTTGCCTGAGTTCTTTGCCACTAATGTTTTTACACGCATGTTTGTATTTACTGTCTCTGTTTATTGATCATATTCCTATCATTATCTATTCCTTGAAGTGTAAAATCAGTCAGGTCCACAGATGAGCTCTGCATGATTCAGTAAATTTTTCTCTGTTTCCTGCCCTTAACATGGAGGGGCACACAATGTACAAGCGATGCTGCATCTCAGAGATCAAGTGCCTTGTATAATTTCTTCATATACTTGTCTTTTTTATCTAAAAAAATGCTATTTTACCACATTTTAGATTTAGTAGAGGTCTTTCACTTCTAAATTATATAACATCATTTGAAATTGAATTTTGGAGTCTGATAAATCTTCTGATTGATTTACTATCCTAGGATGTTTCCTCTGGGACAATAAATTGATCTACCAGTGTTAACTACCCAAGTTAATGTATCTGTAAATATGTAATTTTAGTTTAGGCAGTTGCAGTAGGCTGATATAATTGTCAGCCTCCAATGGACAAATAACATCTTTTAATAACTATAGGTGTCATTTTTATTCAGTAGCAAGAGTATTTTGTCATATAATCTCCATAATTTGGTGTTTTATGAAGCTACTTAGGTTGCACCATGATTTTTTCAGAACATGCTATATAATGAGCACTTTTAAAATTGTCCTGCTCCCTGGGATGTGTCAAGTAAAATAGTTCTTTTATTTCTTCTTTCTTAACTTCTGACAGAAGCATATTTGACAGTTCTTTTGGGAGCTTTCCTTCCAACGTACCCTTGCCATCCAACGTTCTCCGAAGCAGGTGTTTTCACCTGGACTCCCTGAACTCCCCAGAGGCAGATTCTTAAAGAAGTTTCTGACTCAAAACAAGTCCAAAGCCAACATTCTAAGGAGATCCTTTCCCACCCCAACACAGATTATTTGAAGACCCACAGTGAGATGATAAGTAGAATTGAAAGGTGGCCACCTAGTGTCGGGTTTTACTTTGCATTCTGTGGCCTCTGCCCCCCGGATTGCTCAGCAGTCCCAGACCTGGCTACGTCAGTGAGTGAAGACTGTGACATTTCCTGGGACTGTGTCTGATGGACCACAGTTCACATTATGCAGGACCCATATAACAGAAGTCATAAACTGTAATATTGTGCATCATTATTTCTGGTTATTGATTTGTTTCCTAATGGTGTAGTTTAATAAATGAAAACTGTCCAGAATGATACTGATGTATGAGTGAACCCTAAATTTTAGCAGTAAATTGTAACTCAATTTTATTTGCACAATTTCAGAGTACTTATTTTATATTTGTGTGTGGTGTTACAATTTGATTGTTTCTTTTCTTTTTCTATTATATATTTATTTCAAGCAGTAAATCCCAGGATCAACAAACTTACTGTCACAGCTGCTGAGACCTATGCCAATATCAGTTGGGAGTATGAGGGACAAGAGCATGTCAACTTTTATGTTGAATATGGTGTAGTTGGCAGTAAGAAACAACTTCATTGCCTGGTTTTTAATTTGGGGGATACATTTAAAGAGATTTAAAACATTTTTAAGGATTTACTATGGATCATCTTGAAAAATAACTTAATCTAATTAAATGAATCAAATTTATCTAAAAAAATTATAGTGAACTCTGAACCTGTATATGTTATATGTACCAAACAATCTTTTTTTGTTCCTGTTGCTAAAAAGAAGAAACATAGTAAGTTCCATTGCATATGTTATTTTCATATCATGGCACTTAACCACAACATGTAAATAGGAGTAACAATGAATAATTGCGTTTGTAAGTACCATAGGAAAGAAAAAAGGTTTATTAAAATTGGACCTTGAAGTAACACATCAAACTGACTTAGTCATTTTGCCATTGCAACCCAAGAGAAGTTTATCAGAAACTGCAGAAAATTACCACTTTTATTTTGATGTTACATGTGTTCCAGAACCAGGCTCCCTACTTGCACCCTGGCCACCTCCACCAGGATGTGGGGCAGCTCCCTTTCTCAGCAGTTCACGGAGAACCAGTGCCCCCCCTGAATGCAGTGTGCTCTGCACATAAGCTGGGTGGCCAAGGAACAATCGTAAGAAAATGTCGACCATAGTCCAACTTCTGTGTAGGCCTTGTCCAGGCAAATAAATATCTTTAGATATAACATTCCTTTAGGAAAACCAATATGGGGGAAAGATTGAATCTGTAACTTGGATAAATTTCAAGGCATTTAAGTTTACTAAAATTTATGAATCTTAAGAACAGTTCTTACCATAGTTCATTTAAACTAATGTATAACACTTCTCTTCATACACATTAATAGAAAAACTCAATATTTTTATAAATAAAAGTGCATATGAAAAAGCTTCCTTTGTATTAAAAAGAAAACTTAATACATGGTAATATATGCAATGAAGCAATCTGCATATCCAGTCAGTTTTTCTTTCAGGATATTTTTATATAGTTCTGTATATTAATTAATTTATTTGACTTGACCTAAAATGACATACCTAAGTATCCTAGATTTTGTCTTTAGCTTATAAAGATTTTTTCCTTTCTTGAAGCATTAAATGACTTCCAGTCCCTTAAAATATTATAATTTCTTGTTTTTTGCAAAATTTCCATAGGCAAAGAAGAATGCAGGAAAGAAATTATAAATGGTTCTCGGAGCTTCTTTGGGTTAAAGGGTCTAATGCCGGGAACAGCATACAAAGTTCGAGTTGGTGCTGAGGGGGACTCTGGTTTTGTGAGTTCAGAGGATATGTTTGAGACAGGCCCAGGTGAGGTGCACACCACGCCAGTTCTGGCTCATGCTCACAGGTCAAGCCATCAAGCAGTGCAGCTGGAGATGGGGACTAGTGATGCTGTTATGGACAGGGCGAGGAATGGCTTTCTGTGGGTCCGGCTGGGCTGGGAGGTGGGTTTTTGATTGTCTTTTGCTCTTTATATCAAATGAATTATAGAATGGAGCAAATCATTTTCTAATCCCATTATTACCCCAAAATTACAAAAACAGCTAAATATGATCCCTTTATTCATTTTTAAGTCATTTTTATTTCTTATTATAGTTGACATACATTATTATATTAGTTTCAGGTATACATCCCAGAGATTAGACATTACATAACTTACTAAATTATTATCCTGTTAAATAAATCTTGCACCCATGTGACTCCATACACAGTTTTACAATAAAGGACAGCATTAAACTGTACTTTACATCTCCTTGACTATTCTGTAACAACCAATTTGTACTTTACCTTTTTCACCCCTCTCCCAATCCCCTGCCATATGCAACCATCAAATTAACTTCCATTAGTTAGGTAATTTAGTTGTTCACGTCATGTACGTGTATTAACTTTCCCTCAAAGTTAGAATGGAATTTTTGAAACACTTTTGTAACTGAAATAACTCATTGATAAAGTCACAATTTTTCACCTCAAAATGGACTATAACCCAGCAGAACCCTGTAGGTTGGTTATATAACTGATGTAAATATTGTTACATTTGTATAGAACAAGAAATTGTTCAAGTCATGTATTTCATTATTATCATAGCATGTTTGATTGCCCGAATATTGTTTTAGTTATTTGAACATTATCAAAACACATAAGTAATAAAATCTCTAAAATAAAGAAAAATGTTCATATAAGAGTCAGGAATATTCATATTTACTCACAAGACAGGAAGCAGTCTCTTTTTAACTGAATTTAAAGAGGGCTGTGGGGTACATGTTTGCTTTGTGATTCATGCATCCACATTATGTGCAGTCATTTCATGTGTTCTTGAGGAAATGTTGCACTTCTACAGAACCTATAGGCAAAAAAACATTTTATCTTTCATTACCCAAGCATTATGATTTTAAAGTCGTTGCTTATAACTTAATATACAATCAAGAGTGACTTCTAAAGAAGAAGAAACCAAAGATAATACTAGTTTACTAAACTATATCTTTAAGTATTTGTGAGCTAAAATAATGTTAAAGCAAATTTTCTTCTGTTCTCTTGTATTTTCATATCTATTTGTGTACAATTCTAGGAAAATACCTCATTAAACTTAAAAGAAGAATATCAGTTGACAGTATTACTAGGTGTTTGTTATTATCAATAACTATTAATTTCAAAATGCTAAAAGCTCAAGTAGATATTCTGTCCATGCATAGCTAGAACACTAGTAAAAATGACAACACTAGCATTTCATCAGCTCTGGTCTATAGCAGGAGAATGGCTTTCATGGCTTTTCTCATTCAGTCCTTACAACAATCCTATGAAGCAGGCAGTGTTATTACCCACATACACATCACATCAACGGTCTGCCTATCACCCAGCTAGAATGTGGGAGAGCTGGGCTTAGAGGCTCAGCCTTCTAACACCTCAGGAGAGGCTCTCACCGCAACCCCCGTACAGGGTCACAGAGGCCACATTCGAGGGGAACAGGTGGTCTCAGAAATAACCACTTAGCCTTTCCAGATCTTACAAACTCACAGTCCAGTGCACAGCCAGCTTGCACATCTAGCTCGAATTAGATTCCACCCTTAAAATCAAGGGGTGGCAGTTTTTGTCCTTTTATAGGACAGAAGGCAAAGCCTTCAGAAAAAAGTTTTTCTTCAGTGTTGCAATATCTACAAATACAGCTGCAGCTGGTAGTTCAAGGTGAGCCACTCTGATGGGTGGGCCATTCTTGTGTGCCAGCAATGGAGAAATAGGATGAGGCTGCAACCAGTTATTGTTGCCTTTTAATTATAAATGTAACTATTAAAAGAAACAAATGTTGATTAAAGCCTAGTGACCTTAGTGTGACTATTACCCCTAGGAGCAAATACGTGCCGTTAATCTAACTCCCTTGTTCTCCCGCTTTCATTGCTCTGTCCTGTAGGGCTACTGGGTGAACCTCAGTGTGAAAGCACGTCTTCCACTGCCCTTGCCTCTCCTCTCCTCCATGCCAGGTTCTGAGACTGCATGTCAGTGCTGGGCACGGAAACATACTGGTGGGGCTGATTTTGTAACTCTGCATTAATGAGCACCTTCTCTGAGTTCTTCTAATTTCAGCAATGAAGAATCAACTTTCATCAATGCTTGTTTCATCAATCTTCTTAACATGACACCGTCTCTGCCTTTCATAATCTGCATTCTTAAGATTTATTTCTTAATTTTTCCTATGGCACAAGCTGAGCACTGCATCAAACACAGTTGTGGGGAGTGTCCTAACGCTGTGCCTCTTACCCGCACCCCTGTTAGGAGCCCCCCCCTTCCTGTTCCCCACCTCTCTCAGCTTTGCTGTCTCTTCTCTCATATCACAAAAGATTCAAAGCAGATTTGTATTCACTGAGGCCTGTCAGCTGCCTCCAAACTTTAGCCAAGGTAATTTTTCCCTTTCTATACATTTCTAACTACTTTAATGGAATAGGACATATTTTTATTTATAATGGATTCTCTATAGCCATTCATATTACTGTCTCTTCCATGTTTATTTTATTTTCTAAGTACTCTGAGATTTTCCCTCAGAGGCCTACTACCCCGGAGCACACATTATGTGCAAGAAAAGAAGCAATGCCATAGCAGAAGGCTGTGGTTAAAACCAACTTCTTAGAAACAAAGCAAATTTCATTCCTCTGGCTTATTTTCTTTTTTCATATTCTTAATATTTGTCTATTTGTTTAATTTATGACTATGGATTATTCAAGTAATACATGATATAACTTTATTATAAACTTTTTAGGTAAATTAAAAATCCTCTTTCTCTATTCTGCCCAATCCTACTAATAACCCACCCATTAAAAACTGGATTCAAACCCTGGCTGGTGTGGCTCAGTGGACTGAGCACCAAACTGCAAACCAAAAGTTTGCTGTTTTGATTCTCACTCAGGGCACCTGTCTGAGTTGCAGGCCAGAGGCAACCACACATTGATATTTCTCTTTCTCTCCCTCCCTTCCCCTCTCCCCTCTCTCTAAAATAGATAAACTCTTTTAAAAAATAAATTTTAAAAAACAGATTCAATAAGAAACAATGCACAGGCTTCATTCTGCATGAATGTGTGTGTATGTGAGGCATAATGGTGGTCACAACCTGAGTTTGTAGAATCATCTGTAGTTAAGATTTTAGAGTGTCCTGGGAAGGCTTGAAGCCTTTTATAGTCATTGTGGGCTTTAGATCCCTTCTTATATGGATAGGAAGTCAACAGCAGTTATTTTAACTTGCATAATTTTTGTTTTTTCAACTTCTAGTGTACTTGTGCATGTATGTGTGTATGAGTATGTACACACATGTGCTGTTAACATTGTGACTGCCTAAACTCAAATAATGCAGTAGTGAAATATTTGGCACTTTTTCTTTAGGTATAGAGGCAAATTCAAGTTCAATTTGGATGTTTCTTTATGAACTGTCTAAGAAATATTTCCACTTGTTACGTAGTTGCATAGTAGCAAGCTGCCAGCGGGCAGTTCAGCATAGACAGTCACCATCTTTATAAGACAATGTTTGTGCTAGTTTTTTAGTATCTTATTGCATTTTCCCCTTATCAGTACATTTAATTAGAGGGAAAATTTTTAATGTAGATACCATTTGTGACAAGGCTGTAAAAAGCATTAAGCATACCAAAAACTCTCTAACTTTAACCAAATGCTCAACAGAATTACACCAGTTGGGTTTTGGTTCAGTTTTGAAGAAACACAGAAAAACCATGTAAGAAGTGAGCGAAATATATTGCCGAAGAGTGTGTCATGATGGACGTTTAAAATACTTTTACCTGTCTCGAAATAGAAAGTCCCTACAATGTTTTATTCTTACATGTAAAGACTCCTGCAGATTTGATGTCTGGACATGTTTTCAGGAATACGTTATGACAGCAGGGTGTAATGGCTACTACCATGTACCCGTGTACCCTGGAGTTGGGAGACATGGGTCAAATTCCAACCATTGGGCGAATTCTTTACCCTCTCCGAGCATGGATTTATTCCTCATGCTTACCTCAAAGGATTGTTGTGAAGATTAAATGAGGTTTTTTCTCCCAGCACACTGATTTGCAGATAGTAAGATTTCAAAATATAAGCTCTCATTATAACTGTCTTGATCTTCATAATCATCATCATCATCATCATCATCATGATTATGGTACCTGTGTGGAAGGGGAGCATTGTCCATAGTAGTGCTTCAGTTGTATCAAGTTACAATACAACTCAAAACCCCTCTAACCAGTGAGGCAAAAGGGGCTATTAGGGAAGGGCACTGGCATTTGATTTGTATTCCAGATAATGCATTTTCATTTCTCATTTTATTTCTTTAACACACATCTACACATTTTTACATTCCTATTCACACTTGAGTTTAAGCATTTCATTTTTTCTCGTATTTCGTATGGAGAAAAAAAAGCAATGAAGTGCCATTTTTGCACATATATCAGAACCTGAGACACATGTAGCTATGCTTATACCTGTATCCAGAGATCTCGTACACCTAACCCGACAACATTAAGGGTATTCAGAAGAATTTCAATCAAATTAAAAGCATGACAGAGGCATGGTATGAATCAATAGGAAACCCTTTATGTTAATTATCACGATTACAGTGAAAAGAGAAAAATAAAGACCTTTAAAAAAAGCTTTATACCAACTTATTTGAACAAATCCTCATGGGCATGTCTGAATAGCCATTGATGCTGCACTTTGTCCCATTTGACTAGCACTTTTGAAAGCACTAGAAATGCTGATTATTCTATGTTGTTCTTGGGAGATTTGCAAACTGCTGCTGGTTGAAAAGGAGATTTTACATGTATTGACTCAAACAGAATAGATGAAAACTTAAAGAATATGTATACATGTGAATGAGTATTTTCTCTCTAAACTAGTCACTTACTCTAATAATGATGCCACTGATCAAGACATGTTTCAAAGTCTTTTCAATGGAGAATAAGCAATATTGATCTTTTGAGGGTAATTTGGATTTTTCAGAAATTTGTAGAAGTCATTCAGAACCAACTTTTACAAATAAGATGAATAACAAGGAAGATGAATAACAAATCTAATATTTGGGGTGAAAAATGAGATATAAAATAATAAGGCGAGTTGTCTTTTATAGATAGGTTTCTTATGTGGAAAGTTTTCTTTTTTAATAGATTTCCACAACATTTTGAAAAATGGCAGCATCATTGCAATGATGTGTTAGCCTCTAAAGTGGTTTCTTTGAAGGAAAAATACTCCATTAGATGTATACGTTCTGTTCTATTTAAACTTCAGTCTTATATTCTTACTATTGTACTTAATGAACAATTTATCGCATAAACAGTAAATTTGTTCATTGGTTTGGGACTATGTTCCCACTGAGAATGCATAGTTAAAGTAACTGTGAACATGTTGTTCGGCAGGGTTTGTTGGCATCTGATGGTATTAGCATTCAGATTTCTCCATACATTGTTTTAATTAACATTTGTCAAAGTTAAGTATTTATATAATACCTGGTTGATAACGGACAGATTCCAATTTGTGGCCACACATAAAATATATAAAAGTATATTACTATGGCACTTTTTATACAAGAGACAGCAGTTCCCATCTCTGTTAGCCCATTCCCCCTGACACCCTTCACTTGTTTTCCAGCAATGGCAAGCCGGCAGGTGGACATTGCAACTCAAGGCTGGTTCATTGGTCTAATGTGTGCTGTTGCTCTCCTTATCTTAATTTTGTTGATTGTTTGCTTCATCAGAAGAAACAAGGGTGGTAAATATCCAGGTAAGAAATAAAAATTAAAATTGCCTTATAATGCTGCATAATGATCCATTGAAGTAATAAGAAACCATGAAGGTACATCATGGAGATTGCAATAAGTGTATCTTCCCAGAGCCATAAATTTAGACTCTATTCAAACAATTTTTTGTCTTTTTTTATCTAATGGGAACCTAAACATTGTCAAGGATCAGAAGGCATTTGGGGGGAGTAAATGAATCTGTTCTTTGAAGATATTAGTGATTCTGCTTCCTTAGGCTGCACTTAAGCCATAGGTGCACCTACAACCAACAGACAGTGAGGGGGAAGGTACCTGAAGTCTTCCAGAGGAAATAATGCATGAACTGGGTCTTGATACCCACCATGATGTTTAACACTACTTGCCTACAGGGTTAATGTTATACAGCGCACAAGTCTGTGTAAAAGTATTTTCTACCACTGCATATTTCAGAGCGCACTCTTTAAAACTTTGAATAAGGAAACTCGGAATTAATAGATGAGAATGTATCGGGGGAAATGGGGATAACTGTATTTGAACACCAATAAACAATTTTTTTAAAAGAATGTCATTTTGAAATTTTTAGTTAAAGAAAAGGAAGATGCCCATGCTGACCCTGAAATCCAGCCTATGAAGGAAGACGATGGCACTTTTGGAGAATACAGGTGAGCCTCTGCTGCGGCTCCATCCACACCTTCCCGGCCCCACAGGGGCGCTGCACTCCGCCTCCCTGCACTCGGCTCGGGCCAGGGACAGGCTCTCCCTGGCATTTTGCATTTTCCTCAAATGTTAGTTTATAAACACTTCCCTCACAGTTAAAATAGTCTCTCACTTCTCATTAAAGAACAAATTTCCATTTTAGTCATTAAGTTGAGAGGCAGAGTATCTTCCACTCTGAAACATCATACAGAGGCCTTGTTGTATATAGATCCACCTAGCAAAACTAGGAAGTTGCAATAAGAGTTAAATCTACAATAAAGACCCTACAAACCTTCATTGTAGCAAAAACGACACCTGTCATGTTCTAAACAGCTCTTTTAAAAACCAGTGTTACTTGCCCTGGCTGGTGTGGCTCAGGTGGTTGGAGAATTTTCCCATAACAGAAAGGCTGTGGGTCTATCCCTAGTCAGGGTGCCCATGAAAAGGCAAGCAGTTGATCTCTCTCTCCACCGCCCCCACCCCTGACCCCCAACCCCCACCCCCAACCCCTCACCCCTGCCACTTCCTCTATTTCTAAAAGCAATGAAAAAAAAAGTCCTTAGGTGGGGACAAAAAAATAAAAGTAAAAAAGCAAATTTAAAAACCAGTGTTACTGTTTTTAATCTTGGATTTGAAACTTGTTTTTCCAAAACAAATGTATAATTCTCCCCACCAATCATAAAATGGTGACTAGTATGATTTAGAGGCTGTTAATTATTAAGAAATATCACAGCTCTGGAGGCAGCATGATAACTCACAGTACTTTGATAAGACAATCTTCACTTGGCTCCATCATTAAGGACAAATTTTAACATAAGCTCTGTGTAAAATAATTTAAAAATAAAGGAAGGAAGATAGGAAGAAACTTTAAACAAAGGTATTCTTGCCTAAGGGTTATAAGCCTTTCTAAAGAAAGATAAGTGATTACTTTAAATATGTTTTAAATATATATATATTAACTCATGTAAAAGATTGGGATTTTGGTGTGCCAGAAGAATATGTCTATTTATAAAATACCTTTACACCTTGCTTTTTCCTTTTATAAGCCTCTTGATTACATAAAATATAATCTTATAAATAGACACCGAACCCACTTTAGGCTTTTTTTTTTTTTTGGCCAGAAGAAAAGGCTTTTAGGTGAAATAAAATATTTCACTATTGTGATTTCCAGGTGACATTTATAGATATTTGTATTTCTTTCTACCTGTCTCTAAAGCTCATTTTTAGTACTTTCATGTCAGTATTCTGAGGGGAGAAATAATGCCAAAGATAAGAGATAATTGAATTGATTGGGGAAAAAACATGCTTTTGACAGGATTGGTCTTGATACCAGTTTTCATGCAGGTACCAGTGTTCTGCGTTTGTGTCTCAGCACCTGAACTTGCATATGTCAAACTCTTCAACAGAGATGACCATGACTTCTAAAACTTCTCAGAATTTCTATATCTCATGATATGGAGAAATGTCTAGTGCGGGTTGTCTTGACTTCAGATGTTGACTCTAGGGCCCAACGTCATCCCCCCCAAAGTCCACACAGAAGCTCTCATAGCACATTAGAGAGCCTGCTGACAGGCACCCACCAGGGCAGCCGCATCCTAAACTGGACCAGTTGAAATCATTGCTGATTTAATTCCCTCTTCTACGTGTTTCTCCTGTAAAACAGGGGAGCTGATAATGACTAGAGTGCTTGCTGCTAAAATTCTACACAGGATATGCAAACACTTGCTTTTATATATTGTGTTGAAGCTAAATCTTTCATATAGCCTGAAAAACTACGCATTTGCATGAATTGAAAATAAACCATTTCACTTCATACATTCTTCGCATGGTGATGGATTTCTGTTCAACCTTATCTTGCTTAAATGAACCTGGGACTGTATTGTTCATCTTGTGCCTATCAAATGTCAACTTGCTACTATAGGGATGTGAAACCATAATCTGCTGTACTGTGACTTTCTCAGGATAACTATGCTGCTGGCTCTGTTAAAACTAGACTGAAATGAAGGTTGGATGAATGTGAACTAGCTAGGAATCAAGAGACTGTTAGTTTTACTGTCAACTCAGCCATTAACCTTGGTTTCTACAAATTAAGTACAAGTACTTAATTTGTCTAACTCTCTATTTTTCATATATAAAATGATACAGTTGTTTAAGATTTAGATCTCTGAAGGTTTCTAGTTCTATGATTTCTATGCTTCTCTATGGGCTATTTCCTAAGAACTTTTAATATGATTTTGGATTCCAAGAGCAGTGCATAGCAAGTATTTGGTCTGGCCTCAATATCACTGAGCTTACATTTATATGGTCATATTTCTTTGTCTTGGTGTTAATTCATATGTGACATGTTTGTGAAGTGTTTTCCTTTTTAAGTATATTTTATTTATTATGCTATTGCAGTTGTCCCAATTTTTTTCTCCCCTTTCTCCCCCTCCTCCCTGCAACCCCCACCCTCCAGCATTCCCCAACCCTTAGTTCATGTCCATGGGCCATAAGTATAAGTTGTTTGGATTCCACATTTCTTATACTATTCTAACCTCCCCTTGTCTATTTTGTACCTGCCATTTATGTTTCTTGTTCCCTGTACCTTTCCTCTTCCCCGTCTCAGCTGATAACCCTGCATGTGATCTCCATTTCTGTGATTCTGTTCCTGTTCTAGTTGTTTGCTTAGTTCATTTTTGGTTTTGGTTTGGTTTTTCTTTAAGTTTGGTTGTTGATGGTTGTGAGTTTGTTGTCATTTTACTGTTCATAGTTTTGATCTTCTTTTTCTTAGAATAGTCCCTTTAACATTTCATTAAATGTTAATATAATAAAGGCTTGACGATGATGAACTCCTTTAACTTGACCTTATCTGGGAAGCACTTTATCTGCCCTTCCATTCTAAATGATAGCTTTGCAGGCCAGAGTCATCTTAGATGTAGGTCCTTGCCTTTCTTGACTTGGAATACTTCTTTCCAGCCCCTTCTTGCCTGTAAGGTTTCTTTTGAGAAATCAGCTGAGAGTCTTATGGGAACTCCTCTGTAGGTAACTGTCTCCTTTTCTCTTGTTCCTTTTAAGATTCTCTCCTTATCTTTAATCTTGGGGAACTTAATTATGATGTGCCTTGATGTGAGCTTCCTTGGGTCCAACTTCTTTGGGACGCTCTGAGCTTCCTGGACTTCCTGGAAGTCTGTTTCCTTTGCCAAATTAGGGAAGTTCTCCTTCATTATGTTTTCAATTTCTTGCTCTTCCTTTTCTCCTTCTGACACCCCTATAATTCAGACGTTGGAACGTTTAAAGATGACCTGGAGGTTCCTAAGCCTCTCCTCATTTTTTTTGAATTCTTGTTTCTTCATTCTTTTCTGTTTGGTTGTTTCTTTCTTCCTTCTAATTCACTCCATTGATTTGAGTCCCAGTTTCCTTTCCATTTCTATTGGTTTCCTGTGCATTTTCCTTCATTTCCCTTAGTGTAGCTTTCATTTGTTCATCTAATTTGAGACCAAAATCAACCAGTTCTGTGAGCATCCTGATCACCAATGTTTTTGAACTGTGCATCTGATAGGTTGGCTATCTCCTGGTCACTTAAAATTATTGGCTCTGGGGCTTTGATTTGTTCTTCCATTTGAGCCATAATTTTTTGGTCTGTTCGTGCCTGTTACGTATGAGGGGCAGAGCCTTAGATGTTCACCAGAATGGGGCAACCCACAACGCTGGGTTGTGACTCTGTATGTGGGGGTGGGGCCAGAGAGGAAACATTGGCACTTGCTCCACGCTTTCTCAGATTTTGGTCCCCTCTGCTGCTTCCCACAAGCACATTGGGCCCTTCTGGTGCTGGTTCCCTGGTGTGTGGGCTTGTGTACATTCTAAGACCCTGTGGGTCTCTCCCAAAATTTCTCCTATGAGGCTGGGAGTCTCTCCTGGCACCTTCCCAATCAGTGCTTTTAGGCTTTATTTTCCATTGCTGGTGCCCTGGGTTGCGCCGTCTGTCTTGCTTCCTGTGTTTGCCTGGTTTATCTGCACAAGAATGTGTGACCACGGTCAGCTAATGGCCTTGCATGCCTCACTGGGTCTGCTCGTTTCCTCCCTGACCCAGGGTCTGCCAGCCCACCCCTGCACACCCGTGGCCTGCCAACCGCCACCTTTTCCTGACCGGAACCCTCTCCACCGCACCGACTCCACCCCTCTTACCAGTCTGGGACTTCTATACAGTTCAATTTTCTGTCTGTTCTGGTTGTGTTTTTGTTTCTAAATCTTTGTTGTCCTTAATTTTGGTTGTGCAAGGAGGCACAGTGTTTCTACCTATGCCTCCATCTTGGCCAGAAGTCTGATTACCAGTGTTTTTAACTCTGCATCTGATAGGTTGGTTATCTCTTTGTTATGTAGTTGTAGTTTTACTGGAGCTTTGATCTGTTCTTTCATTTGGGTCATTTTTTGGTCTCGGTCACCTGTTACATAATAAGGGATAGAGCCTTAGGTGTTCACCAGGGCAGTGCAACCCAGGTCGCCGTTCTGTGGCTCTGTATGTGTGTGTGAGGGGGTTCCGGGAGGAAATAATGGTGCTTGCTCAGGTCTCTGCTGGCTTTCAGTCACTGCTTCCTCTACCCACAAAAAAATTGGGCCCTTCTGGTGCTAATTCCAGGTGGGTGGGTCTGTGTATGTTCTAGGACCCTGTGGGTCTAACAGACTCTCCTGTGAGGCTGGGAGTTTTTCTCGCTGCCACCTCAACCCCCACAGTCATTTTCAGTCAGAGGTTTTGAGGCTTTATTTCCCTGTGCTGGAACCCTAGATTGTGTGGTCTGTCTCAACTCTCCAGTTGTTCCTCCTGGTTTATCCACACACAGATGTGGGACCACCTGCTCCACCAGCTGCCACCTCACCCTGTCTGCCAGCTGCCACCTTCCTCGAGTCCTCTCCTCCCAGCTACTCACCTCTGCCCCTCTTACCAGTCTATAGGAATGTTTCCTCTTTAATTTCTTGGTTGTCAGACTTC